TAATCAACTCACCTTTTATCTGTGGTGGATTTTTTAATGATGTGTAGCTTATCCGACGGAGGTTTCTTAGTTGTAAGCACAGTATACAATACACTGCTTGGTTTATCCAGTGTAAATCTACGAACAATCAAATGAGAAAGCTATCAGAGATGACAGATCACCCTGAAACATTAACTGGTTGAACATCTATATCGCAATATGGCTCCAGATATTATAGTTATGCATTTTTAATGAGGTATCTGATCAGATCTAGTATGCAATGTCTTCAATAAAGCACTGATTAAATGTCTATCTGCAATAGTGCTCCCGATATGATATTTATGCATTTTTAATGATGTCACATGACCATATATGGTCATTAAATATGTTGACCGGATCTAGTGTGCAATGTTTTCAATATAACACTGGGTGAATGTCTCATTCTTGGAATAGTACCGGGTACTCCTGATGTGACAGATGTACAGATGAATGCTGGTGATTACTATGTCTCCCACCAGCACTGTGTGCTGAGGGATAATAATGTAGTGTATTCTGTGGCAGAGTGCAAGAATATAATTCAAAAGTGACAGCTTATTCAACGAACCTTTCTTCCCAGCTCAACATTTCTCACATTAACATTAAGAAAGTATAATTCAGAAATCATTACGCCCTCTAGTGGTGTATTTTGCATAACCCACTCCTATTGTTTATGGGCCTTGTCACCATACAATATTATTAGAAAAATTATGCAGATATAAGAGTTCCTATGCTGTAAGGATGATATGATCATTGACGCGAGTGCAAGCAGTACTGACATCAGATAAAACACCATGGTACTTACTGTGCTATACAAGGAGTAAATGGGTCTTCTTTAGCGACACTATGTGCTTGGTATAATTGATATACACATCCTTCCCTTGTTAAACTCTCACCAATAGTTGACTATAAATAGACAATGAATAAAAATTTGTCAATAAATAGTGGTTACTGAAACTTTTGTATGAAACTTATTTTCACTGATTTTTGATGAATTTAATGTGAAATATAGGAAAAAAAGTATATTCGCTGGATTTTATTTTCACGGAATCATCCATTCAGCGAAAATAGCGAAAATAAATTCCAAGCGAAAATAAAGTATTCTACAGTATAGTTCAATCAGTACTATTTCTTACTAATTTTTTCCCATTTTTTTATCACTACATGACTCAAAAAAATTGTGAAACAAGTGCATGACCAATTTCATTGATTCAGTTCTTACCTCAAAATATAAAATTAAAATTTCCCACGGCGTCTGGAGATATATAACTATCCTTTCCATTCAGTAAGTTTATTTTATTCAAAACCACACGAAAAGTAGTTTTTGCTAATTTCTGTATTAAAATCACAGAAATGTAATAATGATCCCTGATAGTAATATTAAAGTTAGTGGACAATATGCTGATTCACAACTTTATTTTCTTTTATAGTAAAAAATTATTATCATAAAAACAAGTGACTGTGCAGACAGAGAACATGTTTACAGTACGATCTGGACTTGGCAAACTACCAAAAATGTGCAGATTCTCCAAGTTCAGAATTATCTCTTGACTTATTGCATACTTACTGATGTCTTGCTGAGACATGCTTTGATCTCGTCTTCTAATACATCAAATAACTGATACAATGACTTGTTTGGATGAACCGAAAACAACAATTTACTGCGTCTCAGGTTAGGGCACATCTCTACAAATGTCTGCCAGGAGTTACTGGATACATCAGTCGGAATGGATAGATCTTCTCTTTTCAGGTACTGACCGACACGTTCTAGATTGAAACCAGACCCTTTATCTTCACAATTTTTATCCTAGTAAGTAAAATAATAATACAACAACATTTTTTCTAATTTTTTCCAAAATATGCATAGTGCCCTTACAGTTGAGCGAGTGAAACTCAGAATGACGCTTTGGGTAGCCGATCACACAGTAAAGTGATTAAATTTTCTCTAGTTATTAAGATCTTTTGCAAACTGTATGTAGCTCAAGTTAGACTAGATTCAAGTTTTCCGAGAAGATATAGAAAACACTGGTACTTACTTTCTGTAAATTCTCTTTAAGGAAATCTGCAACAAATGTGATGTCCTTTTGTGTCATCTAGAAAGGGAACCAAAGAGGCATGAAGAAAAAAGCAATGCTATTCAGTTATACTAGTATATGATTTTCACATAATCACTCATACACAAGGTTTTTAGACCTAATAATTGTGTATGTGCATAAATAGACCAATAACTGTGTACATACTTGAATAATGAACCAATAGTTGTGCATGTGTATAAATGATACTTGTGTGTGCACATAAATAATTAGACCAAGTAATTGTTTATGTGCATAAATAATGAGACCAAGTAATTGTGTACTCACAAAATAATCAGACCAGTAGTTTTGCATATGCATCAATGAGACCTAGTAATTTTGCATGCACATAAATAATTAGACCAGT